TATGATATTCATGGCTTTAAGAAGCAAGGGATAGAGACAACAGCTCTACAGAAGGCTCAGGTAAGGGAGCTCTCTCTACCATTATAAGTCAACACCATCTCTGCAATTTTTGCCTTGTTCTTGTTCAGTCATTTTTCAGGTATATCTCATTCTTCATGACCCCATCTGGGGTTTTCTTGGTGAAGATTCTGGAGTGGTTTGCCTTTTCCTTCTCCTATCATTTTACAGATGAGGAAACTAGGCAAACAGGGTTAAATGACTTGCCCAGGATCACACAGTTAATCAGTGCTTGAGACCAGACTTGAATTCATAAAGATAAGTCTTCCAGACTCCAGGCCTGGCACTGTGCCACCCAGCTACCAACTTTTGTCAAGGGAATCACTTGTTAGAGCAAAGACAAGTGATGTGCCTGGGGTCAGTCACCCAGTATTCCTCAGAGGCAGGATTTAAATTCAGGAGTTCACCTGAATGTGTCTCTTCTCTGTCTACTATACCTTAGCTGTCTCCTCTTAGGGAGCAAATGCATTAGTAATTACACATTACATAATAAAAAGATGACTGGCTACAAGAACATTTATTGGTCTTGACATATTTGTGTAACAAAACACAAGATACATAATAAAACTTTAAATACCTCATGTATGTGCATTTTAGCTAAACACATGAAAGGCAATTTTAAAGAAAACTGGAAACAGTGTAAAAATTAATATCCCTAAAACTCCGAAATGTAACTGTGGTATAACAGCTGGACAGCTAATCTCAGAGTCAGAAGAACCTGCACATAAGGCCCACCTATAACCTACACACTGTGTCTTCAGGCAATTCTCTAAGGTCAAGAGCTCACTGCATCAGTAGAGGGGGATTTCTCACGTAGTGTTCTTTACCAATTAAACCACAGATCCGATTTAAAAAAAAAAGGAAAATAATCTGACAATGTGACTCTTAAAAGTTGTCTCTTGAGGCAGCTAGGTGACACAGTGGATAGAGCACTAGCCCTGGAGTTAGGAAGACCTGAGTTCAAATCCAGCCTCAGACCAAAAACATGACACTTACTAGCTGTGTGACCCTGGGCAAGTCACTTAACCCCAATTGCCTTAAAAAAAAAAGTTGTCTGTAGTTCCCCATTTCCTCTACACATGCAAACTCCTCAGTCTGGTATCTAAAGTACTCCAACAACTCACTTTTCAGACTTATTCTCATCTAACTCCCCTTCGTGTGCTTCACATATATCTCAGCTAAACTGGTCTACCAGGTGTTCCCTGAATTTGGGATTCCATCTCTTACCTCTGTGCATGGAATGCACTCTCTCTCCCTCTCCCCCTCCCTTCCCTTCCATTTTCTCTCCCTCTTGTCCTGTGTTCTCCCTCCTCTCTCACTCTGCATTCTCTCTCTTCTTTTCTCTCTCTCTCTTTTGTCTTCCCCCCTTATCTCCTCCTCTGTGTTCTCCCATTCTCCCCTACCCCCACTATCTCTTCTCCCTCTTTCCCTCCCTCCTTCCCCTCTTTCCTTTCCCTCAACTCTCCTTCTCTGCTTTCTCCCCCACCGCTCTCTTTTCCTCCTTCTTCCCCCCTCTCCCTCCCACTCCACATCCTCCCCCTCTTTCTCTCCCTCCACAACAGTTACTTGTTAAATATTCCCTAGTGGAACAAAAACTCTCTGAGCACTTAGAAGGGTTCATTTCTGTCTAGCACAGAGTTTTGGACCTAACAAAATCTTAATATTTACTGACTTGGTTTGTTTCATGGTCCCTCCTCAAACATCCAATGATCAAAATCTTTTAATATGATATAATTCCTTCACTGCCATATCTGTAACTACAATTGGTTGATTTAAGTATCTTGTCTACTTTGGAAAAATTATTTAAGGATACTTAGCATTTCTAAGATGAATAATACAGTCAATCTGGTAAGTAGATTAAAACAATCAAATAACACAGGGCAACATTAGGTCTGTTCACTGAATAGAGAAATAATTAGCTCCAGAGAAAGAGAATTAGAATAACTGAGAAGGTTATTTGCCTGTAATACTATAAAACTATAGTAAATAAGCACCTAACTCAATGCTAGGCACATAGGAGACTACTGGAAAATATCTGTAATGAATGAAGTTTATTTTTTTTTACAAGATAGTGTTCTCATTTTAAAGATTAACTTTTGATATTTTTGATCAACATCCACGACTTCACCAGCATGGATACTCCATCCACCAATGCAGATAGATACTCTTTCATGCCTTTTCATCCTAGGTGCGAGTCTTGTCCCGATTCTTCCCTAAATCTGCCTAGGAGGATTTTTTACACATAGTAACGTATTTGTTCTTTTAGTAACTTGGGTGCACCAGTGTACCTCTTGGATTGTATACCTGTCATCACTGATTGACAGGCCCAGCTCCTTTTCTACTCATCTAATATCCTTGATGCTATCATAGATGGTGCTTCTAGCCTGCAAATGGTCACTGAACATCCCTGTTTACATCCAACACACGTCTACGGGTTGTTGATAATTGCATAAATCATAGCACCATCCTATCACAGGTTTACTGTGGGAAGGGACCTTATAGACCATCGAATTCAATCCTCTTCATTTGATTAAGGAGGAAACTGAAACACAGAGAAGTTAATCTCTTTGGTGTTACCAAAGCAGCTACGTAGTGCAGGCTTCAATGCCTTGGACAAATAGAAACAATTACGAAAGGAAATCTCCCTTTTGTTTAGATCCTTTCTACTGCATAATTCTGTTAATACATTGATTGATTCAATACTCAAGTAATCACTGAATAAAGTAATTTCTTTAGTCAAGTTTCTAGTTTTAAGAAACTCAGGGACTCTCGCACAACTTTACTACATAGGTAAGAGATGTCAGGGATCAATCAGCATTATCAGCAGAGTCTGTGTGGACACTTATTTTCCATCTTCTAGGTGTTCAAAATCATGACTATTGTCCAAGGTATAGATTATAAAAGCATTAAACATTATTTGTAGAGCCTGAAAAAATGTGGGTTTATTCTTTTATTTCCAAGGGTTATTGTTTTATATTATTGTTTACAAGGTAATTATATCCACAGCAAAAATTATCTCCACTAGAGCCCATGACATGGAGATAACTCTAGATTCTATAACAGCTGAGTGGAAACTCTAGCAGGGCTTAGAAGGTCAGAAGGACTTTGAACCTAATGGTGGACTATTGCCCAAAGACAGTTCCATCAAGTTCACAAAGGCTACCACCAAAAAAAAAAAAATCAAAAAATGAAAATAAATAATGATTTTTGAAAACATAAGCAACTCATGAAGACAATCTATCAAGGCCAAGAGCTGGTTGCAAACTACATTAGGAACTGAATAACCCCAATGATGAAATCATGAATTCCTGAAGTAAGCACGAAGTCATTTTAATCTGACACATATTTTGAAGAAATATGGTAGGCCTCTGAAGAAAGGCTTATTTTTTTAAGGAGTGAAAAAACAGTTCATTAACCTGCGGGTCCATGAACTTGCTTTTCTAATATTTTGATAAATGTATTTCAAAATAATTGGTTTCTTTGAAATCCAAGGTATTTTATTTTCTACATTTAAAAACATTATTCTGAGAAGGGGTCCACAGACTTTATCAGACTGACAAATGGAACCATCACACACACATACACACACACACACACACACACACACACACACACACACACACACACACACACACACACACAAAGAACCCCTAACCTAGCTTAACCTATGGTATCATATGCAGGTATTTTCCCTGAAATAATACAGTAGTCAGGAAAAAAAGTAATAATATTTTTCCTTAGATTTCACAAGTCAGCAGAAAAGCTCAACCCAAAATGACTATACTGTATGCGATCATATAAAGATTTATAAAACGATTTTGAAGGCACTACATGGTCTCCTTTTCCAAATTTGCTTTCCCTTTAAAGGCAGTGGAAACTCTCAATGCAGAATGGAAGCCAAGAAACAAAGAACTGAATTAGAGAGTTAATAAGGCAAATTAACTATGAGCACATTCTTCAAATTTATTACAGGTTGAGGCTGCCAGCATTCAGGATTTTCATTAATGCTTAGGAAAGACAGTACAAATCATTTTTCTTGTGACATAACTTATAGACGTAAATCCTTCATAACTTAGAGCCCTAAATGTTGGAATTTGTTCTCTGCATTCTATTTTTATACTCCATCAGAGATGAATTACAGGCAAAAAACAAAAACAAAAACACAATGTTAACAGGTATTTAGATGTTACTGTGGTTCAGTCATTTTTGTCATGTCCAACTCTTTGTGACTCCATTTGAGGCTTTCTTGGCAAAGATACTAGAGTAGTTTGCCATATCCTTCTCCAGTTCATTTTACAGATGAGGAAACTGAAGCAAACAGGGTTAAGTGACTCACCCAGGTCACACAGCTATTAAGTCTCTGAGGCCAGATTTGAACTCAGGAAGATGAGTCTTCCTGATTCCAAGCCCGGCACTCTATCCACCATGCCACATAGCAGCCCCAGATATTTAGTAAGATAAATTAAATTTAAAACACATTTCAAAGATATGTCCTGAGATCACGACAATTTCTGTCCAATCTTCATATTTTCCAAATGTGCTCTCTCTCTCACATTCAGAATGATAACCCTGGAGTCCTTCAAAATTCTCTACCACTAAGGACAGACTTAATCACATTCAATAGATTCTACTTAGCAGCAAAAAATCTTAGGATTGAAAAGAACTTAAGAGACCCTCTACTCTAATACTTTAGATTAATGCAGAAGTGAGTTGTCTAAGGTTACACCCAAATGCAGTCAGGAAGAGCTGGACACAACTAATCAACTAAACAACAACAAAGGTTATACTGCAAATTTAGAGTCAGGGCCAAGCTGGTAGAATCCAAATCACTCCTTCTCCAACACTACTGCTAATACACCCACGTTGCCTCACCCTTCTTGCTACCAAAGAACATTCTAGAATCTCAAATGCCAGTGGGGATAAAGGAGAAGGAGGAGAATTACCATGAGGTAACATGGATGTCCTTGAGAAGACTGATAAACCTGTCCATCAAGGGAACACACAGTGGGCCTAGGAGGTTGTCCCAATTGGGCTGCATATACTCTGAGGCTCTCCGCTGGGCATCACTTTCACAGCAAAAGTAATCAGCACAAGGTGTTACAATGTATGGGATGAAATAATAATTCCCACTAGATGCCTAGAAGAAAGACAAAAAAATTTCAGAAAGTACCGTCAGTAAAAGTGGAGACATGGCTCAAAGTGGTAATTGGGGGGAAAGAGACAGTTCAGAAAACTGTGAATAGCTCTTACCTCTTAGCAGGGACAATGAATGTAACATTACTGAATAGCTACTAGTTTCAAAGGTAAAGTATAAAACATAAGAACAACATGCTATTTCATAGATTTTAGGCCATGAAAGATTTAGATCGTTATATCTTTTTGGTTTAAAATGGTAAACCTAACTATATGTGACATAAGACTTCTCCATCAGTTACATTAATATCTTTCAGGTGTAAAAGTCACATTATTTCAACAGTACACTACTTAAAATGAAGTAAACTGAACGAATAAACAAAGTAGGCATCCTGCTTAGCCTGCTTTAATGAATGAGTAAATAAAACTCATTTGGAGTTAGCACACTGACATACTATTGTTGCAGGTGAGATAACATTTATAACAATAAGTGCACTGCTGTAATCACTGCTCAACAGTAATTTTGGGGGGTGTTTCCAAAATCTTAGTGTAATTTCAAGCCTTGAGAGCTTGAAACTGCACTAAGACTTTGGGGATACCCTGTATTTATGGGCAGCAAATCTTAATGAGTATAACTAACTCCATGGATATTTGCAATGATTATAGAAAATCTTTTAAAATTTGTAGTGCATTACATCAGAGGTGTCCAGCACTCAGTCCACGGAAGGAATCTGTTTAAGTAATTAGGAAATATCAACAAAATAGAATAAAACATACATAACATTACGTTTAAAAACTCAGGCAACACTGCAGCCCCCAGGGATCCTCGTTTGATACCACTGAATTACATAATTCTTAAATGCTACAATATATTTATTTTCACAAGATAACATTAAGTATAAAATGTCAACTTTAAATGCATTAATTTTTAAAATTTTGAAGGATGTTTTGGGGGATGATTATACTTATCTCCCACCAGATTTAATTTATTACTTACATCAAAACTAAAACCAACAGAAGCATAGGAATAAATGGATTTTTCCTTAAAACAGTAAGTAGTATCTATCTGAAACCATCAACAAGCACTATCTGTAATGAAGATAATCTAGAGCTTTCCCAATAAGATCAGGGGCAAAACAAGGATGCTCATTATCACCACTACCTTGCATGAGAAATATTATCTTTAGCAATAAGAGAAGAAAAAGAAATTGAAGGAATTAGAATAGGCAGTGAGGAAACAAAATCATCACTCCTTGCAGATGGTATACTGAGAAAATCCTAGAGAATTAATTAAAAACCTACTTGAAATAATTAACAACTTTAGCAAAGTTGAAGAATATAAAATAAAGCCACATAAATCATCAGCATTTATATATATTACTAACAAAGCCCAGCAGCAAGAGATAGAAAGAGAAATTCCATTTAAAATAACTGTAGACAAAATAAAATATTTGGGAGTCTAGCTTCCAAGACAAACCAGGAAATATGTGAACATAATTACAAAACACTTTTCACACAAATAAAGTCAGATCTAAACAAATGGAAAAATTGCTGAGATAATATAATAAAAATGACAATTCTACCTAAATCGATTTACTTATTCAGTGCCATACCAAATTATCAAAACTTATTTTATAGAGCTAGGAAAAATAATAATAAATTTCATCTGGAAGAACAAAAGGTCAAGAATATCAAGAGATAATAGAAAAAAATTGCAAAGGAAGGTAGCCTGGCTGTACCAGATCTAAAATTATATTATAAAGTGGCAATCATCAAAACTACTTGGTACTGGCTAAGAAATAGAATGGTGGATCAGTGGAATAGGTTAGGTACACATGATACAATACTCAATGACTACAGTAATCTACTGTTTGATAAACCAAAAGACTCTAGCTTCTGGGATAAGAAATCATTATTTGACAAAAACCGCTAGGAAAAATGGAAAATAGTATGGCAGAAACTAGGCATAGACCAACATCTTACACCATCTACCAATTGGGATAAGGTCAAAATGAGTGTGATTTAGACATAAAAGGTGATACCATAAGCAAAGTAGGAGAGCAAGGAATAGTTTACCTATCAGATTTATGGAGAAGGGAAGAATTTATGACCAAATAAGAGATAGAGAACATGATGAAATGCAAAATGGATAATTTTGATTACATTAAATTAAAAAAAGTTTTGCACAAAGCAAGCCAGTGCAGCCAAAACTAGAAGGAAAGCAGAAAGCTGAGAAACAATTTTATAGCCAGTGTTTCTCATAAAGGCTTCATTTCTAAAATATATAAAGAACTGAATCAAATTTATAAGAATACAAGTCATTGCCTAATTGATAAACGGTCAAAGAATATGAACAGGCAGTTTTCAGATGAAGAAATTAAAGCTATCTATAGTCTCATGAAAAAATGCTCTAAATCACTATGGATTAAAGAAATGGAAATTAAAACACCTCTGAGGTACCACCTTACACCTATCATGTTGGCTAACATGATAAATGCTGGAGAAGATGTGGGAAAATTGGGATACTAATGCACTGTTGGTGGAGTTGTGAACTCACCCAACCATTCTGGAGAGCAATTTGGAACTACTACAAAACGACTATAAAACCGTTCATACCCTTTGATCCAGCAATACCACTACTAGGTCTGTATCCCAAAAAGATCATAAAAAAGGAAAAGGACCTAAACATACAAAAATACTTACAGCAACTCTTTTTGTGGTGGCAAAGAATTGGAAATTGAGGAAATGCCCATCAATTGGGGAATGGCCGAACAAGCTGTGGTATGTGAATGTAATGGAATACTATTGTGCGATAAGAAATCATGAGCAGGTGGATTTAAGAAAAGCCTGGAAAGACTTATAGAAACTGACCCTAAGTGAAGTGAGCAGAACCAGAAGAACATTGTACACAGTAACAGCAACATTGTGTGATGGTCAATTATTATAGGCTTAGCTCTTCTCAGCAATGTAATGATCCAAGACAATTCCAAAAGACTCATGATGGAAAATTCTATCCACATCCAGAGAAAGAACTATGGAGTCTGAATGAAGATGGAAACATACTATTTTCACTTTTTTTTGGTTTTTTTCTTTCTCATGGTTTCTCCCTTTTGTTTTGATTCTTCTTTCACAACTTAATTAACGTGGAAAAATGATTAATATGATGTACATGTATAACCTATATAAGATTGCTTGCTGTCTTGGGGAGGGGGGAATGAAGGGAAGAAGAAAATTTGGAACTCAAAATCTTATAAAAAATGAATGTTGAAAACTATCTTTACATGCAATTGGAAAAAATAAAATATTAAGTGGTAAAAAAATAATTTTTTAAAAGGACCCTAAAACAACCCTTGAAAATTTAGAAATTCTGTGTTTAACTTTGCAGCCTACCTCAATTTCCACCTAAGAAACCTGATTTGGCTAATGTGTTTTTTCTACTGAATTTTTTTTTCACTCAACTGAGATGAATTAAATAGATGTTTTAACATCACACTACCTTAATTTTAGAAAGAATGGATCTTCTCAGCATTGAGAATTAAGAATTATATATGTGTGTATGTATATATGTATATATACACATATGTGCATACATATATATACATTTATATTTTATATATATTTATATTTTAGGATATCACAGTTCTGTCAGCTTTCTCTGGTATACATATTCTCTAGTGTGTGTATATATATATATATATAAATAGATAGATATTATATAGATATAAACTATATATAGATATATACTAGAATATATATATATAAACAATACATATGTACTAGAATATATGTGTGTGTGTATATATATGTGTATATATACACTTCTATATAAATATATATATATGTACACACACACACACACACACCAAAGAAAGCTAACGTAACTGCAATATCCTAAAATATAAATAAATCCTAGCCACATGGAATATTTTCTAATATCAACTACGTGCTTCCAAAATCTGAATACATTAACTTTTACAAAACATCAGTTTACAGGAAAACATGCAGTATTCTAATTTAGCTGGATTAGCTTTCTGAAGATCATTTGATGTTTCTCTTCTGGTTTTCCATGTGTAATGCAATGGAGAGCATCCAAAACACTGTTAGAAGGGTTTAGACTTTGGGGCATTGAACACATTTTATTTGTAGAAAGAATCTTAATTGGTCAAAAGTACTACTATGCTAAAACTTGTCTTCGCTTTCTCAATTTTTCCATCATTCCTGAAGAAACTATCCTCAAAGAACACTGCTCCTGACAGAATACAGCCATCTGGGGTAGGATGAAGTTAAAAGAACTAATAACAGAAGCGTCCAGTGAACCTAAGCCTAAGAGAGAAAACATTCAGCATCTAGGATACAGTGAAGAGGAAGCAGAGCCTGTATTCACTTGCACTCTTACTCATCCTGAGCACCACCAGAATTAATAGTACCACTAGTAGCAGAGAAACAACCAAAGGGGTCTCGGATTTAGAACATCAACCTAATGAAGAACGATCATCAGCAATGTCTTCAAATGCCAAATCAAAGACAGAATCATAGGATCACAGATTGAGAGCTGGAAGGTACTTTAGAGACCATCAAATCAAACTCCCTCATTTGACAGATAAGGAAATTGAGGGATATGTCCAGTAACATGTCCAGGGTCACATATCTACTAAGTGTCCAAGGAAAGATTTGAATTCAGATCTCCCTGACTCCAGGTCCAACACACCATCCACTACACCACCTAGAAGCCACAAAGGTTAACTGACAAACTAAAAGTTTTCCTTTCCATTCCCAGAAATCCATATTGCTTGGAACAAAGTGGGCTAACTAATCTCTTTAAATTCAAATGCTTTATGTTTATTCCTCCATAGTTTTCTGTGAAAGACTAGTTACTAAAAGAAGCACCAGTGATTACAGCTTAGCCCTTCTCTGCAAAAAACAAAAACTAAACAAAACAAAACAAAAAGTCTAGGAGAGTTACCTGGTTTTCTGAGAGGCTGAGTGACTTGCCTAGGATCAGAT